ATTTCTCTTTAGGAAGTGAGCCCGCTAACACTCAGAAGCCACACACGTGTAGGACCCAGGACAAATCATTCCCAGGCTGCTGGGAGCATGGCTGTCTTCAGGCTGAAATGAGCCAACCTCTCCTTTTCTATCTAAAAAACGGGCGCACGGGGGACCCGGGAACCCGGGCCGGTTCCCCCCAAAGGCTCTCCTGACCCAGCGTCCTCTCCAAGGTCCCTTGGAGCCCAAGGAGGGGGTATGGGGTGCGGGGCCTGGCGGCCACCATGGAGAGACGCAGCCCTGACTCGCTGGCCGTCGTCGGGGTGTTTTTTTCTGCTGACCCACTAAGAAAATTCAGAACATCCGGGAGTAACTGTCAGAAAACAAACCAACCATTCAACCATCCATCCATCCAACCATCCATCCATCCAACCAACCCTCCTGCGGACTTCAGGCTCGCGAGCCTCCGCTGCCCGGATTCTAGTGATGGGGCTCCCACCGAGAAGAGGGAAAGTCATTAGAGAAACACCCTGTACCGCAGCCCCTTCCCCTCCCCTCCCCCCCTCCTTCCTCCTCCTCCCTCTCTTCTTCCTCCTCCCCCTCCCCCTCCACCGGAGGCAGCCCACAACTTCCTCGCATTGTCCCATGCTCCATGGGAGCTCAGGCCAGCGCCAGGAGCACGGCTTCCCCACCAGGCCAGGGGGAGGGGGGGGAGGGGAGGGAACATCAACACAACAACATCAACAACACAACAACAACCACAACACAGAAGCCGCGCAAGTTTCCAGCCCCACGCCATCCCCACCGCCACCCCCCGTGTGGGACTGGGCCGGGCACCCCCCCTCCCCCCCCCCCCCCCCCCCCCGCCGGAGTTGGCGGCCGGGCACCGTCCCCTCCTGGGGGAGAGAGGGAGACGAGCTCCTGGCGGCCCCAGCCTGGCCCCAAGGAGGCTCGCGGCGCCACCCGCCCACCCGCCCGCCCGCCCGCCTGCCCGGCTCCCTGGCGGCCATGACAAAAGCAGTCTCGCCCCGGACCGCAAGCGGGCACCGCCGCTAGACATCCCTGCGGCACGCGAAGCGCCGCCAGCACTCGCCGGCGACCCCAGCCCCGGCCCCGGACCCCTCCCTCACGACGCCCTGGCCCCGCTCCCAACCTCTGACCCGGCCCCACTGCTCACCTCGATCTCGAAGTCCGGCAGGCGGAAGGCGGTGTGGAAGAGCAAGCAGAAGTGCGCGATGGCCAGCACCTCCCACCAGGAGCGGAGCTCGCCCAGCCCCGCCCCGCCATGCTCCTCCAGGCAAATCGCCGCGCCTGAGCCCACTCGCTCGCTAGATGGCCAGGTGGGCGCCCCGGCTGGGCCGGTCGAGCCTGCGCGCTGCTGGCTCCTGCTCCGCGGCTGCGCCTCAGCGCCTGGCACAGGCTCCCGCCTTGGCGCCCGCGGCTCCACACGACCTGCGGCTGAGGCGTGCGGCTCCGCCAGGCCGGAACGGACCGCTTCGCGGCGGGCTGGGGGGGTGGGGGGGCTGCGGCAAAGGCGGCGGGGCCGAGGCTCTGAGGCGGCCGCGGCTAAGGCTGTCGGCGGGGTCCTCGCTCGCCCTGTCCCGCGGCGGTGCTGCAGCCGCCCCTGGTCCCACCCCCCAGAATATAATCCACTCAGCGCAGGGGAAAACAGATGGGACAGGGGGCGGGGCCGCCACGTGGAGGGGCGGGGGTCTGCGGGCCACAACAACCCCGCCCACCCCTCCCCCTGCTTAGCTGGCGCTGTGTGTAGCACGCGAGGGAGGGTGGAGGGAAGGGAGGGGTGGGTCTGAGCAGGTCCCCCTCCCTGCTACCTCCCTGGAGGCGACCCCGAGGGTCGTCAGGGTGGGCCGGCTCTCTCGAGGCCCCGCGGGTTCTCCCCACTCCTCCCTCTGTCCCTGGCCACGCATGTGCGGGAGGGAGTGCGCCCAGGTCCGTGCAGGCCCCTGGACAGCGGGGTCCTGCCGAAAAGAGCAAGGCGTCAGACCTGGCCCGGACGCCGGGGGCCACGGCACCCACTGGGCCTGACCGCTGCCAGGCCCTGGCCTCTGCTCTGGCGCGCTTGCACCGCCCTCCTGTGGTGAAGTCCCAACCCCCCCCCCCCCACCATGGGCACTGCTAGCTGCTGTGACCAGCGCTGGGAGGGTGGGGTTTGAACTTAGGACCTCGAGCTTCCTGGGCGGGGCTCTAGATGCACGCACGTGCACCCTCAGGTCCACACAGGGTCCTCCATGTGCCCCAGCATGCGAAGGCAATCCTCCTACAAGCGCCTCCTTCCCTACCTCCGATGGTCCCTCAGTGGTAACAGCCACACCACCAACACACACGTGCGCTCACCACGCACAGATCTGCGTCTGCACATGTGCACAGTGGTAACAGCCACACCACCAACACACGCGTGCACACACCATACACAGATCTGTGTCTGCACATGTGCACAGTGGTAACAGCCACAGCCACACCACCAACACACGCACGCACACACCACACACAGATCTGTGTCAGTACATGTGCACAGTGGTAACAGCCACACCACCAACACATGCATGCACACAACAGGCACAGATCTGTGTCAGCACATGGCACAGTGGTAACAGCCACACCACCAAACACATGCATGCGCACACCACACACAGATCTGGAGTTCACAACTAGATCTTTTAGTGTAGAGAGAGAGGATGATTAACTAGGTCGTGAGCTGGAGTGTCTTTGATCTTCCATGCTTCTGCGGGCAAGAGTGTCACAAAAGGCATTTTGATGAGACTGTATAAGATCGAGAGAAATGAACTTTAAAATTCCCACAGATACTTAAAGTAATTCTTATGAGAAGTTAGAATTGAAGAGATGTAGGTATTAATGCCTACTGTCAGGAACCATCCCTGCTTAGGTGAAAGGCAAAGGAATATATAAAACACAATTATAGTCTCCAAATCTAGAAAATATTCCAGTTCCTCACCTAATGGTTGAGAAGCAAAGCAGCACAATATATAAATTATTTCAAGAAAATTAAAGAACACAAAGCAGCTATTCCCCTATGGTCAAACAAAACAATATTGGAAACAACCCCAAGAATACTAAAGGCAAATTTTAAGTGTTCAGCTTAAAACTTTCACAGTACTTAGTTGAATAATTTGAGTAAATATTTCTTCTCATATAAAAAGAAAACCTGAAACACAGAAAAACATTTTCCATTGCTAAATATCAGTATTATTTTTTAATTAATACATTAGGGAAAAATCATGTATCATAAATTAATTCCTATTTTGATAATTGAAAATCTGTAGCAGAATGGGAGAAAATCTCTTCATCTTTACATTAAGGAATCTTTGGATCTCATTTATGTTTTTGTCTTTTTTTTCTTTGACACATTTTAGATGTCCAAGAAATGGAGGTGGTGATTAAGACCTGCCAGGAAGGTCCAGATGAATGTCTGTGTGAAATAGCAGTCACAAATAGTAACCCAGTGGAAGAAAGAGTGAGATTGATAACAACTTTTAACTTGGGCTCAACTCATAAGCTTGAGCTGATGAGGAATAATGGGAACTCTTTAGGGATGAGCACTGAGGAGTTCATTGAGTGTCAGGACATGCTTCTCTATAGTGAGCCTGATGAGATGCATGCTGCATATACACCTGGTGTGTCTCCTGTAGTTGAACAATCCTTCAGATATTCTGAATATTTTAGTCAAAATTATGCGAGTCCAAATGGGCTGCAGTATTTTGAATTTGGTGGAGAAGGGAAGGTATTAAACTCAGAGACTATATTCTTTAGACATAATTGGGTCTGTATGGGAGAGACCTCTTATAACCACAGTGAATATAGAGAAGACTATGATAAGTCTGCTCTCCTTGCTCAAGAGATACTTCAAGGAGGGAGGAAAACACTTGAATGTACTTTATGTGGAAAAACATTCTACATAAGACGTGTAGTCACTAGACATCAGAAAATGTACAAAGGAGAGAATCCTTGTACATGTAATGAATGTGAGAAGTCTTTCAATAAGGAAATGCACATTAGAAAACCTGAGAGCAAATATCCACAGAAGTCCGATGAGTATAAGCAATATACAAAATCTCTCTCTAAGAAGTCAGACTTGACTTTCCAACCTCAATCACCTATAGATGAGAAACCCTTTGAATATGAGGAATGCAGGAAATTTTCCACCCAGAAGTCAGGTCTCAGCAGGCATCAGAGAACTCCCAAAGATGAGAAACGTCATGAATGCAACAAATATGGAAAATCTTTCATACAGAAGTCATACTTCACTTTGCTTCAGAGAACACATACAGGAGGGAAACCTTATGAATGTAACACATGTGGAAAATCTTTTGCCCGGAAGACACATCTTACTGTCCATCAGAGAACACACTCAGGAGAGAAACCTTATGAAAGTCTGACATGTGAAAAGTCCTTCACCCAGAAGGCAAACCTCCAGAGACACACGAGAATTCACACAGGTGAGAAACCTTTTGAATGTAACAAATGTGGAAAGACTTTCAGACCAAAGTCAGACCTCACTTTGCATGAGAGAAATCACACTGGAGAGAAACCTTATGAATGCAATAAATGTGGTAAGGCTTTCAGAGGGAAGTCACACCTCACTTTGCACCAAAGAACACATACAGGAGAGAAAACTTATGAATGCAACAAATGTGGAAAGACCTTCAAGTTGAGTTCACACTTTGGCACGCATAACAGAATTCACACTGGTGAGAAACCTTATGAATGTAACAAATGTGGAAAAACCTTCACCCAGAGTTCACACCTCAGCAAGCATAAGATAATTCACACAGGTGAGGAACTTTATGAATGTAACAAATATAGATCTTTCAGGCAGAAGTCTTCTTTCACTTTGCATCAGAGAACACACACAGGAGAGAAACTTTATGAATGTAACAAATGTGGAAAGACTTTGAGGCACAAATCAACCCTCACTTTGCATCAGAGAACACACACAGGAGAGAAACCTTATGAATGCAACAAATGTGGAAAGACCTTCAAGTGAAGTTCACACCTCAGTAGGCATAAGAGAATTCACACAGGTGAGAAACCTTATGAATGTAACAAATGTGGAAAGTCTTTCATCCAGAGTTCACATCTCAACAAGAATAAGAGAATTCACACTCATGAAAAATTTTATGAATAAAATAAATGGAAAGTTGTTCACCTGGAAGAAAACTCAGTTTGCATCAGAGAACCCACTCAGGAGAGAAACCTTATGAATGGAGCATATGTGCAGTCTTTCACCCAGAAGGCACAGCTTATGGCTCATCATTGAACACACATAGGAGAGAAATCTCATGAATAAAACAAATGTGGAAAAAATTATCAAGAAGTCACACCTCAATTTGCATTAGAGAACATACACAGGAGAGAAACCACATGAACATAACAAACGTGGAAAATTCTTCACCAAAAAGGCATGGGTTGGTGTTAATAGAACACACAGAAGAGAAATCTTATGAATGTTATAAATGTGGAAAGGTATGCCTTCACCTGGAAAGCATACCTCAGTGTTCATCAGAGAACTGAATCACACAGGAGAAAAGAAAACTAGTGAATACACCAAATGTGCAATGACTTTTAAGCAGGTGTCAGTCCTCAGTGCATCTGAGAACATATAAATAAATGAGAGAAATTCTCAGCATAATAAATGTAGAAAAACATTTAGCTGGAAGTCTTATCTCTACGGGTATCAGAGACCTGGTAAATGTAAACATTAGAGGAAATCTTTCAAGCAGAATTCAGGCTTTAGTAAGCATCAGCACTCACAGCAAAGAAACCCAATGCAGGAAAATACTTTTCAGGAACTGCTGCAAATTATACAGAGAAGCTCTTCATGGCAGAAGTAAGCTAGGTGTAATGGGAAACCATTCTTTCCTTTTTTTGGGGGGGGGTCTGGTTGTGGGGCCTGAACTCTGGGCCTGGGCACTGTCCCTCGTGTCTTCAGCTCAAGGCTAGTGCTCTACCACTTGAGCCACAGCGCCACTTCGGCTTTTTTCTTTTTTCTTATGTGATGCTGAGGAATCGAACTCAGGGCCGCAGGCATGCAAGGCAAGCTCTCTACCACTGAGCCAACTTCCCAGCCCAAAACCATTATTTCCTATTGGGAACTCGCTGAGCCAACATTTCTCATCCTCTTATTGTGATGAGTGTGGATGGTGTCCTTGAATGTTATTCAAAAGATTTGGACACAAGTGATGGGTGTTAATTTCTTCCAGGCTTGAGAAGTAATTAAGAGAGTGAAGTTGTTGACTTGTGTCTTTTATAATACAGAATAATTTGTCAAGGTGATTTTATAAAGTCAGAAATAAGAACTCTGGCCCTTTGAGATTGGACTCAGATCATCCTCCAAGGTGGTTTGGGGAGTCATAGATGGGAAAAGACTGTTATGATTTCAGACAAGGACATAAGAGCTTTGATTTCTCCACTGCTCTACTAAAGTATCCCACTGTATGTGCGCTCAATGCGTTATAACACAAGTGACTTACTATTTCCAGTTCAGTGTTTGAATAGAAGATCTGATGGAAGATGCCACTGTTTATTACAAAATGTGCACAGTTGTGAAATTTTTCTCTTCACCTTTTGTCCTCAAGTACATGAAACATTCAGAAAACATGGAAAGGCACACATTTGGGGATATATTTGCTTTTGGTATGGGTACAAGTCCTGTAGCTTGAGCTCAGAGCCTAGGCACTGTCCTTAAGCATTTTTGCTCAAGGCTAATGCTCTACTATTTGAGTCACAGCTTCATTTCTGGTTTCTTTGGTTGGTAAATAAAGACAAGAGTCTAAACCATTTGGTTTTGGATGAGTAACCCCAAAATAACTTCAGTGCTTCCTTTATATTGAATTCATCACTGGTAATGAGTCACTTGTGATTGATTCACCCTTAGTTCATTCTGTTGTTCTGTTGAGTGAGTTGTTATAATAAACCAGCGTGGATAATATGAAGAGCTTATGTTTTTTCACTTTTCTGGAGGCTGAAAGTGGAGTTCTGAGGATGAGTCTATCATCACTCCAATTTCTTTCTCAAGCTCCATTCAGATAATTGTACCAAAATACAATGAAGACATGGTTTTATTAAACTCAATTCTGGTAGTAAGGAAATAATTGGAAACATGGCAAAAATGAGGAACCAGAAGCTTGTTAGAAGGTGGTTGCCGAAATCCAAGGGATGAGAGAGACAGAGGTAGGACTGTGTTAGATATTCGGTAGGGTAAAATTCAGGTAAAAAGTCATCCTAATCACGTAATTCTCCCTAGGTATAGTCATACAATATATTGAAGCATAATACTATGTACTATGATTTCATTCTGCAGTGTTTCATATCCAACACCAAGAACACATGTATTTCTTTGTGATGAGAAGAATACTGTCATTTGTAATCTCAGGGAGGGCTATGGAAGATAGTATATTAAGTCAAATAACCAGGTATAGAAAGATACTGAGCAATCTCAACACAAAAAAGGAAATTAAGAAAAATAGAGACAAGGAAGTGGTGCTGTGGCTTAAGTGGTAGAGCGCTCGACTTGAGCTGAAGAGCGCCGGGAAAGCACCCAGGCCCAGAGTTCAAGCCCCATGACTGACCAAAAAAAGAAAAAAAAAAAAGAAAAATAGAGACAACTCACAGAGGTGGAGAATAGAATAGGTGACCATGTGACAATTAGTAATAACTTTTTCCCAATCAAACATTTCATTTGATTATACAGTGTGTTGTTCCGTGTTTCATTGAGCAATGGTTGCATATCCAACACCTGGAAAGCTTACATTTCTTTGTGATGAAAAGAAGGCTGTCAGCCGGGCGCTGGTGGCTCACACCTGTAATACTAGCTACTCAGGAGGCTGAGATCTTAGAATCGCGGTTCAAAGCCAGCCCGGGCAGGAGAGACCGTGAGACTCCTATCTCCAATAAACCATCAGAAAACCGGAAGTGGCACTGTAGCTCAAGTGGTAGAGCACTCGCCTTGAGCTGAAGAGCTGAGGGACAGCACCCAGGCCCAGAGTTCAAGCCCCATGACCGACCAAAAAAAAAAAAAAAAGAAGGCTGTCGTTTGTAATCTCATAAAGGGCTATGGGAGGTAATGTATTAAATGAAAGAACCACGCAGAGAAAGACACTGAGCAATCTCACACAAAAATGGAAGCTAACAAAAATAGAACCAACTTCTCACAGTTGAGAGTAGAATATTTGTTTCCAGAGGTATGGAGAGATTGGTCCATATTTTCAGGATCCTCTGTTCAAGATTTTGTCCTTTAATCAAATTGGTCTGACTCAGCATGGGCTTTTGAGGATTTTCCATTGTGTCATGTGCTTAAACATCCAAGAGTGATTATGTGGGCAAATGCCTTCAGTAAAAGGAGTTCACATAGGAAGAACAGATCAGACAGAAGATGGGGACAGAAATCACTGGCTGTAGCCTGATATCCTTGGTTTCTAATTGAATGTGGAATCTATGCAATATATAGATTACTCTGCCAAAGTTCCATATTTGGAGTTGTAGAAATGTTACCTATGTTCTTCAAATTGGCAAACCATGGGGAAAGAAAGTTGCACCTCAATTCTATTTCCTTTATGTGGTTAAATAATTTGTAGCTCAGATAAAATCTGCTGTTTCCTGTGATCTCAGTCCAGTCTTGAGGGAAGTACAGAGCAAGAATGGAAAGTTAGGGATTTTTTTGGAACACTTTCTCAGATTCCCAACACTGCTGAGTGATGGTAATGAGAAAAGAGTCTAATTGGGTGCTGGAGACAGAGCTCCCTCAACTCTTGATTCCCCTGCATGATGTCATGGAATCTAGATTCAAGAGCAAGTCTTAATCCTTTTTTTCTTTTTTTCTTAATCCCTTTCTTAAATACTTCTGCAACAAAGGGATGCTGGGAAGACTGATGCTCTAGGAGATAGCCTGAGCCAGGGGAAAGCTCATGAACCCATTCCTACTGCCTTACATTTCAGTTTTTGACCAAAAATAGGATATTTTCTAAATAGAATTTCTCTGAAGGACAAGAGGAAGAGCACATTTGTATAATCTTCTCTCAGTATCTTTTCATTGACCAAGGCCTCTCCAGAGCCTTCATGATCTGTAGGTGACACTCCCCCCCCCCCACCGCCGTGACCAGTGTTCTACTTGGCTCCTTAGATGGCTCAGAGTTCAGAACATCCTGAACCACTTGGCCTTGTGTCCTACTGAACTGATTCTTGGAGGATGGTGACAACTTTTTGCTGAGTACTGATCTGAGCCACAGAGTGAGCAAGGCAACAAAGTCAACTGAGATCATGTACTCTCCTGGTCAGGTCATACTTACCAAACATGGGTCTCAGTCAGCCTTAGCCTCACTAAGTGCTTCAGGACAAGATTCCCAGTCACTGCTCCAATCCCTAACTCACACAAACCACTCACTGAGGACCACCCAAGCCATTTTCCCTCCATCACCCAGTGTCCACTCCACTGTCCTGATGACACTACTTGTGAGCACTTCTGTAGCGCCCTAATACCAGGGGTTAACAGTATTCTCACAGCCACTATACCCTGAAAACCTACCTAAAATGTCTGGATTTCCATTTCTAGTATTCTTTATTTGGACATAAGAAGAAGATGATTTGTTTCATGAAACTCTATTACTATATTTACCTTTTTCTTTTGTTTTTGCCAGTAGTTAGCTTTAAGCTCATGGCATGTTAGTCTCCTTTGGCTTTTAAGGTCAAGCTTGGCATTCCTTGTGCCACATCTGTCATTGTTCTATTTCAGATCCCAAGTCCCCTCATCTGATGAAGGCAGTGAAGGTGTGGTCTCTTATTTTCTCTCTTCCAAGATGTTTTACAAAAACATTAGAAAAACTAGAATATTTTAAATTAGGGAAATATAAAGTTTCATAGCAAAATTTCTAATGAAAATTGAGTAGTTTAAAGGAATTTGGTAACATTTAAAAATATGTGAAGATGTTGCAGAATTTTTAAAAAGGTGAGGAATATAGATGAACACTGAGCAGTTCCATATGTAAAAGCAACATTCAGAAGCTCCATATGAATGTATCTCCAGAGCAACAGCACAGATTTCCCATTTCTCAGGACTTTAGATAGAAATATTCTGAGAATATTCCACCTATTCATACACATAAACCTCTTGGCTCTGGTGAAAGTGTGGAAAGCAAGACTGAATCATCTCATCATGTTGGTAAGAGGTCATCAGAATGTTCACATTGAAGACCTGCCATCACACTGTTTGCCATGGACACTATTGTTTCAAAAAACTACATGTTATACTAATATGTATGAAATAATTTTGAAATGACAAAAATTGAGCAGCATTTGAAAAGTACTTTCACTGATCATGAAAATTTCAGTGTGAATTGAGGATAAAGGTGATGTAAGAAAAATTAAAATCTACCTCAATTGCAACATCAACCTTACCAATTTCTACTTTTGTTGAGTTTTTAGTTTTTAGTTTTGTTGAGTTTATAGTTCTAACATAAAAATTTGCAATTATTTCAAAGACGTGTGTATACATATACATTATATATATATATATATATATATATATATACACATAATATACATACACTTTGGAATAAGTATATATACTGCTTTGGAATAAGCAGATTACATTTCATTCATTAGAAATGTTAAATCAGTGCTATTTGTAAATCAGTACAAACTTCTCCAGTCATTTGAATCCACCCAAACTCCTCCATAACACATTTCAACTTAGCAGATCTTTAGCACAATCATTGTCTCTCCCGAGGAAACCTATCTAAGGAGGAGCCATTGTGCAACAGGGCACAAGACCCATATCAGGCCCTTAAAAACAGGCACACAAATGAGGAAACCATTTACTGTGTGATCAATTCTCAAAGAATTTGTTATCTGTAAGATTAAATTATTTGGAATTGAAAACCAAAGAAATGAAGATCTCTACAAAGAAGGGGACTAAAAAGACAGGAATTTAGTTCATTCAAAAAAGCAGCTGGGCACCAGTGGCTCACACCTGTAATCCTAGCTACTCAGGAGGCTGAGGTCTGAGGATCCCGGTTCAAAGCCAGCCCGTGTAGGAAACTCCATGAAACTCTTATCTCCAATAAACCATCAGAAAACTGGAAGTGGCACTGTAGCTCAAATGGTGGAGCACTAGCCTCGAACTGAAGAACTGAGGGACAGCGCTCAGGCCCAGAGTTCAAGCCCACGACTGACAAAAAAAAATAAAAGCATAGTTCAGCTCACTACGAATAGATTTTTTCTGACACATTAGCACTCGAGCAAGGAGTCCTTGCTCAAATGGTGGAGTGCTAGCCTTGAGCTGAAGAGCTGAGGGACAGCGCCCAGGCCCAGAGTTCAAGCCCAACGACCAACCAAAAAAAAAGAAAAGATAGGCACACATTTATATGTGTACATAGCATATACACACATATAGCAAGTTAAATAATCATGTTCTCTTCTGAATCAGTCATTGGCTCACTAACAATGTAACTTTAAGGTTCTCCTGTTCCTTATTCTCACATTTAACTATGTAATTTTCTTAGAAAATCCTTTGGCTATACTAGGCCAAAACAAGAGAATCATAGAATAAGATTATTACATTATCTTGCAAACTCATTTATCACAGCTGTTAAGACCCAGCCAATATTTTTAGAACATTTCTTCTCATCACCTAATACTTTCTTTATACAAGTACTTAAAAATAGAAATATAAATAATTTTTTTTATTGTCACAATTAGTTTCTGAGTTGGCAGATAGTGAAATGGTCAGCCTAGAGGTTTCACTGAGCTACATAGAGCACACTATACAGGGCCAAGTAGCTCATTTCCCTTTCAGTGCATGCAGACCTTTCCAAGATAGATCTGATATGTTCACTTGTGTCCAAGCAAACATACACTATGTTGTTACCTGGTGGAAATGATCCATTGATCAATATCTATTATCTCTAAGATTAATATTCCAAAATTCATAGGAAACTGCGCAAGACACCCAGAATGACCAAAGCAAGCCAGATGTGGGGGGCAGTATTGGAAGTATCACAATTCTAGACTTACAATTTTGCTATCACTCTATAGTGACAGAAACAGCTTGGTAATGGCACAAAAATAGGCCTGGAGAACAATGGAACAGTCTAGAACACCCAGAGGTAACCTATATACTTACAGCCATCTAATACTTGACAAGGGATACAAAAATGTAAGTTGACAAAAAGATCATCTGTTCAAAAAATCAGACCAGGGAAATTGGATATCCATATGCAGAACTGAATGCCTCTGTCATTTTTTACTACTATCAATTCAAAAGGTATCAAAAACCTCAATGTAAGACCTGAAATCTTGAAATTACCTTACAAGGAGTAGGAGGAATATTTGAATTCATGGACATAGTGGAGAAATTTTTGAGTAGAAGTCAGGGGTTCAGGAAATCAGAGAGAGAAATGACACATAGGGTTACATCAAGCTAAAATGTTTCTGCACAAGAAAGGATGCACTTACTAAACTAAATGTTAGCCTATGGAATAGAAGAACTGTGTTAACTGTACAGCTGACAAGGACTTAATATTGAGAATATACAGAAAGGGCAAGAAATTAAACCCTCAAAAAAGAAATTATCTGATCCAATAAGTAAATGGGCAAACAAGCTAAATAGTTATCAGAAGTAACAATGGACAATAAATGTGTGAAAAAATGCTCAATATCTCTGGCTACAAAGGAAATGAAAACCAAAGCATCACTGAGATTCTGTCTCACCTCAATGGCAATTATGAAAAATAAAAACAACAACAGTTGCTTCTGGGGATGTAGGAGAAGAGAAACCCTATTACATTGTTGGTGAGAATTTAAACAGGTAAAGCTTTCTCTGGAAGTTTTTAGATTTTTCAAAAAACTAAACCTAGGGGCTGGGAATGTGGCTTAGTGGTAGAGTGCTTGCTTTGCATGCATGAAACCCTCGGCTCGATTCCTCAGAACCACATAAACAGAAAAAGATGGAAGTGGGTCTGTGGCTCAAGTGATGGAGTGCTAGCCTTGAGCAAAAAGAAGCTCAGGGACAGTGCCCAGGCCCCGAGTTCAAGCTCCAGGACTGGCAAAAAACAAAACAAAACAAAACAAAAGACAAAACCCTAAACCTAGAACTGCATTATGATCCAAATATCCCACTCTTGGGCATTTATCCAAAAATTACAAATCAGGGTACAGGAAAGTTATTTGCATACCTATTTCATTGCTAAACTATTCATCACAGACAAGTTATAGAAACTTCCCAGATGCCTCCAATGGACAAATGGATCAGAAATGTACTCATTATCTTGCCCATGTAATTGTACAGTATGTTCACAATAAAAAAAATAAAAAAAAGAAAATAGAACTTTTGGGAAATACATATTTCACACATATTTGCAGGGAAATGTGTGAACCTGGAAAAATATAGGTTTAGTGAAGTCAGTAAGGCACAGGAAGACAGCAAGGCTTAAATTACACACACACACCTACACACACACACACACACAAAATGAAGTATTGTATGTGCAGGGAAGGATTCTAATACTGCAACTCCACTGAACAACTAACAGTTTAACATAATGACAACTAGGAAGCTGCAATATGCCTTGGTAAGGGAAGGGACTGACATCAAGGGGAAAGGGTGAGACAAAGAGAGGAAGGGTGGGTTAATGAAGTCAATATTCAGTGAATGTAAATGATCAAGGTGAATTGGAATTGTTGTGGTTGGGAGAGATAGGGAGAATGATAAAAGGCGTGACACTGATGAAGATGCACTGTACTCACAAACTGACCTGTAGAATGGAAACCCTTCATACAAATTCTTAAGATAGTAAAAGGAAATGCTTTTGGATAAAACGATTTTGTAGGGTAAGCATTGTCCCAAAGGATTTTCCCTAAACAAAAGGATGACTGAGCACCAGTGGCTCATGTTTGTAATCTGAGCAACTCAGGAGGCTGAGAGCTGAGGATCTCGGTTTAAAGGCAGCCTAGGCAGGATGGATTTGGGCCTTTTATGTCCAATTAACTATCAAACAATCTAGAAGTGGAGCTGTGGAACAAGTGGTATATGGTTAGTGGTGAGCAAAAATGCTCCCCTCCCTCCCCCCCCACAGAGAATAGTATAGAACAAAAAGTTGCAATAAAAGTTACTAAGTTTTTTTTGTTTCTTTTTTTTTTTGGGTCCAGTCGTGGGGCCTGAACTCTGGGCCTGGGCATTGTCCCTCCCTCAGCTCTTCAGCTCAAGAATAGCGCTCTACCACTTGAGCCACAGTGCCACTTCCGGCTTTTTTCTTTTTGCTTATGTGGTGCTGAGGAATCGAACCCTGGGCCTCATGCATGCAAGGCAAGCACTCTACAACTTAGCCACCTTCCCAGCCCAAAAGTTACTAAGTTTTACAGTAAAGTGTAAGGAGCTCATAACATATTTGTGTGTGGTAAGCTATAATGCAAGAGTTATCAAAATGATATTTTAATTAACACCTCATTCTATTTTTCTATATCATAACATATTTGTGTGTGGTAAGCTATAATGCAAGAGTTATCAAAATGATATTTTAATTAACACCTCATTCTATTTTTCTATATCATAACATATTTGTGTGTGGTAAGCTATAATGCAAGAGTTATCAAAATGATATTTTAATTAACACCTCATTCTATTTTTCTATACTAATGAGGCTATCTGAAGAACACTGTTCTGCCATTAATAAATATTTTCTTAAGCAACTGATTTTAAGGAAGAGTTTTTTTACTTAAACAAAATAATTGTATCTTGTAACACGGTGAACAAACAACTATTATTTAAAGTGATTCTAACATACTTTGTGCCCTGTATGTCTGAGAAAAAAAATTGTAGAGTGATGTGCTAAATATTGCTTGCTCTCTTGTATGTTTAATGAATTTCTGTTCCCCAAGTTAATATAAGCCTTGTATGCAGGAATAAGGAAAATTCTTTTTTTTTTTTAATTTAATTTAATTTTATTTGAGAACATACTGTACAGAGGGGTTACAATTACATGGGCAGGATAATGCATACATTTCTTACCAAGCATTGCAGCCTCCTCTTTTGTTTACCCTTCAAAGGAAAATTCTTTATAAATCTACTACCTTCTGAGTTAAAGAGGTTAATGAACCTTGCTTCTTAAATTTCTATGCATTTATTTACTTTTATTAACTTACATATATAGGAGGAAAGGATTCATTGTTACTTTCCATGTAGGCTTATAATGTGTTTCATTAACCTTCCCCTTCCCCAACATGTATTCTTAACTGTAACAACAGGGAGATAAAAAAACCACCTTAAAAACTCTCCCTCTTTGCAGATAACATGATCCTGTATTTAAAGAATCTCATGGACTCCACTCCCAAATTACTCAAGGTGATTTGAAACTTTGGTAAAGTAGCAGGGTTTGAAATTAACCCTCAAGAACTCTACTGCATTGTTGGTGGGAATGTAAACTTGTTCAACCACTTTGGAAAGCAGTATGGAAGTTCCTCAAAAGACTCCACATAGGGCTGGGAAGGTGGCTCAGTGGTAGAGCGCTTGCCTTGCATGCATGAGGCCCTGGGTTCGATTCCTCAGCACCACATAAGCAAAAAGAAAAAAGCTGGAAGTGGTGCTGTGGCTCAAGTGGTAGAGTGCTAGCCTTGAGCTGAAGAGCTGAGGGACAGCGCCCAGGCTCAGAGTTCAGGCCTCACGACCGGACCCTCCCCCGCGCCAAAAAAAAAGAAGACTCCAGCTAGAGCTCCCCTATGACCCAGCAATCCCACTTTGGGGCATTTACCCAAACGATCACAAACAAAGCTATACTAAAGCTACCAGCACAACTATGTTTATCACAGCATTATTACCATAGTTAAGATGTAGAACCAATCCAGATGCCTCTCAGTAGATGAATGGATCAAGAAAATGTGTGTGATACACACACACACACACACACACACACACAATGGAATTCTATGCCTCCATCAGGAAGGACATTGCCCCATTTGTTAGGAAAGGGAAAGACTTAGAAAGAATTATATTAAGTGAAGTAAGTCAGGCCCAAAGAAACATAGGTCCCATGGTTTCCCTTATTTGCAATAAAAAAGTATGTCTAGGACAAGCAGAAAAAGTCAAAAGCTATGTACGTATGACCATATAAGATGATGTTAAGGGAAATGAACCCCAAGACAGGGACACAAAGGGTCTTTTCTTTCTTGCTATTGTTTTTAATGTATGTACGTATGACCATATAAGATGATGTTAAGGGAAATGAACCCCAAGACAGGGACACAAAGGGTCTTTTCTTTCTTGCTATTGTTTTTAATGTATTTAAAATGTACTTTTTTTTGTTGTTGTTGTTTCTTTGGTATGTTCCTCCCCCATGGTATAATCCCTGTTTTCACTGTATTTGATTCCAGTGACCTACATCTTGTATATACACTTTTCTGATCTGGGTAGGGGAAGGGAAAATAATGCTTAAATAAGGATACAGGTTGAGCCATTGTAACAATGAGATGTACAAGACACTATGTTGAAAATGAACTTTACAACTTCACCCAGCGGGGAGCCATGGTGGGGGGGGGGAGTAATTGTGGAGGTGGAAAGGAACGGATGGTAGAGGAAAAACAAAGAAGGAGTCAACACTGCTTGATAGGAAATGTACTCATTACCTTATTCATGTAACTGTAACCCCTCTGTAGTATTTTTACAATAAAAAAAGTATTTAAAGAAAACTACCCTAATAGACTTCAAGACTAGTATAAGAGACATTCCTTCTAAATTGTTTTTCTCCCAATTAGATCATAAGATGTCTTTTTAGCACCGAGTCCCTTCTAAACTGTCATTTCACTCCAACTTCGGATAAGAACTACTGGGACATCACATCCAGGCAACAAAAAAGGCCTCTAGGGACAAAGCTTATTCCAGTGATGAAGAACCATTCAGATTCTAATAGTATGGAAATAAGCATTGAGACAGGGGATGTTGTCAGATTCCAAATGGAGTCATTTCTGTCATACATTTCAAAAGTAATTAAGCCAAGAGATTGTAAAGAAATGGTTGATAAGCATGGTTTTCTGAAGCTAAAGCTTGTCGACCTTTCAACTAGCCAAAAATCAGAACTTTAGCTTTTTCTATCACCCACTATTTTGATGAGTACCAGATACCCCCACCTAGGTATGGATACACTCTGCTTCTTACGGACAGGATGGTGGTCCTACCTATGTTAATATGCCTAAAGATTGCATAAGGCATAAGGACAGAAATGGAAAATACAAATTTTTCCCATTTGATTTATAAAATCCTGTCACTTCAGGCAATTTGAAGGCAAGTTTTATGTTCTAGAATTAGGAAGTATTTCCATGAGAAGGCTTTGATTTTGAAAAATGGAAAAGAAGCTACAAAGAACATTTTCCACCTGTTTTCTTCAGGCACAATTATCTTGCATAGTCAATATATCAGACTGATATACTTTC